AAAAAAAAAAAAAAAAAAAAAAAAAAAAAAAAAAAAAAAAAAAAAAAAAAAAAAAAAAAAAAAACTTGCTCCATTACCGTCTTGAACTTGTTCACCTCCATGATAACGTTCACGCACAGCAAGACGATCCAGGTCACTAGTGATATGATCAGTGGCACCTGTGTCGCTGTACCAATTTAGATCATCTTGATTGGACTCATCCATCCTATGCCAACAACGAACAACACTATGCCCCACTTTGTCGCAGATCTGGCAAGAAGAACGAGCAGAAGGGCCACGACGATCACCAGCAGGACAAGAGGGCATATCCTTGAGAACGACCACGACCATGATCCCTCAGCTCACCATTCTTCTACTGACCACCATGACCAACATAATTGGCAGAAGATCCAAGATTTAACTGAAGTTCAGCATGGTGTTGTAGTTGGTGAGCTTCAAACTTCATTAGATGTGCAAACACATCATCCAGCATGAGAGCTTCACTCTTGGTAGTCATTGAGGTGATGAAGGGATCATAGTTAGGGCCAAGACCAACGAGAAGATATGCGATCACATCATCATACTGTAAGGCAGAGCTGGCGGTGGCCAGCCCTTTGATCTTACGAAAATAATTTGCCGCAGACTGATCGTATTTCTTGGACGTGACGAGCTCAATACGAATCTGAATAGTACGAGCACGAGTTGACGATGAAAACATCCGCTGCAGGGTATCCCACGCCTCCTTGGACGTAATAGCGGCAACCACATCGTGAAGAATCTCCTCAGACATGGTGGAGAAAAGGTCGCTAAAGACCTGTTGATCCTGATCATACCACTAATCATAGGTCGGATTAGAGACCAAGTCAATATCAGCAATGGTTGAGGAAGGGACCAGCTTAGCAAGTGCGATAATGGTGCCATCGAGGTAGCCCATAAGCTTCGTACTCCGTAGGTAAGGGAGGAGTTGGGCGCGCCATATGATGAATTTATTTTTGGTGAGACGGATTGTGATAGTGTGGTGGAGAGGGATTGGGCCAAAGGTCGACACCATAGTAATTGAGAAGGTGTTGGAGATGGTGGATGGGGAGGAGGAAGAAGATATGGTAGACATTGTTAAAGAATAAACCTTGGCTCTGATACTATGTTAGGTTAAATGGCACTCTGACCTATATGGGTCACAACCTCATGTATTTATAGATGTGTATAATGAGAATTACATTGCAACAAACCATGAAACTATAGATTTGGTAACAAACCATGAAATCATATATTTGGTAACAAACTAGGAAATCATAGATTTGATAACAAGCACGAAATCATATATTCTCCTTGATTCATGGTAACAAACAAGTAAATAGTAGATTATATTACTATGTATAGATATGATTTATTCTGCGTTTAACAGACTCTACTGTTTCAGAAGCTGTCACTATCAGCATAAGGACGGTAGCTCTACCATGCAAAGAGAGAAAGTACTATACACCAGACTCCCAATTGATTTGGAAACCTTGCTTCAAATTGGAAATTGTTGGTGGGTTTCATTCAAATTTGGGCTTCGAAGTTTGGCTTCAAATTTTTTTTAATGTTTTCGGGTTGGGTCAGGTTGACCCCATCAATTTCTTTTGAAACACGAACCCAACCCGAACAGGATCGGGTTCAAAAAAACTAACCAAACCCAAACCCGAGAACCAATCAACCCAACCCAACCCTTATAATTCGGGTTCAATCATAAAAGCAAAGAGTAAGTAACGTGACCATGTTGTAGGAGAATACTCGGGTCATTTGATGTAGAATCCAGATTTCAAATATATAACATGGGTTATTACAATAAGATATTTTTTCTTTTTGTTTTTACAAGGATGTTTTTATAATAATGATTTTTTTTTTACTTCTTACAGTTCCGTAAGTGAGGTAATGAGCTTGACTTAGAAAAATAAATTATTAACTTAAAAGCGGTATTATTAACTCAACAAGTTTAGGAAAATTATTAGTCTTCTAGTTAGAATAATTGTTAGTAGTTGTTGACTTGTTGAGAAAGTTTAAGAAATCTATTAGTGTTTTCTCCCTATAAATAGTTTTTAGATGTATGTATTATTCACGAGGACAAAGAGAATTGATAAGCATATTGCTTAAGATTTTCTATTCTAAGAAATTTTCCCTTCAAATTGTTTTGTCTACCTTATTTATTTATTTCGATATATTTGATTGTGGATTATATCCAACATTTGATATCAGAGCTAGGATGCTCAACAAACCTCTTCACTATACCAATTCGGCGGAGGAGATATAACGATGATAAAAAGCGAAAATGAGGGGAGTGTAATGCTCTACCACATATACAGTGTGTGGGAGACCATCAGGCATCGTGACGAATTTTAGGAGTGAAAGGATAGGATGACTCATACTACCATCTACAAAATAGTCCAGGAGGATGTCCTCATATTGGCAAAGAAAGATTCCGCAAAGGAAACATGAGAGACGCTGCAAACAATGCATGTAAGTGCGGAACAAGTCAAGGAAGCAAAAGTACAGACCTTGAAGAGTGAGTTCGAGGCTACCCGTATGAAGGATGGTGAGTCAATAGACTACTTTGTCATGAAGTTGACATCAATCGTCACCAACATCTGTTCGTTAGGCGAAAAGGTGGAGGAGGTCTTCGTCGTCAAGAAGTTCCTTTGAGCTGTTCCCCTGAGATTCATGCAGATTGTTACCTTCATCAAGTAGTTCAGTGACCTCAAGAACATGTCGGTTGAGGGAGTTGGTTGTCGTCTTAAGGTCCATGAAGAGAGGCTTTGTGGCTACGATGATAAAGAGAAGGAGAAACATCTCTTACTTACACGCCATAAGTGGCTTGCACGTACAAAGGGACATGACAACCACAAGGAAAATAAAAGTCATGGTTATGGCCACCGAGTTGCGACAAAGAAGATCATGACAATACTTCACAAACCCATGCCAATGCCAACCCTTTGAAGGATAAGAGCATGATCAAGTGTTACGCTTGTGAAAAATATGTGCATTATGTGGTAGAGTGCCGCAACAAGGAAAAGGATGAGAAGCAAATCTAACATTCATAGATTATAAAAAGCTTGCATTGATGTTGGCCAAGAAAATACCCAACTCGTTAATGCTCAACGAAGAGAAAGTTATCGCGAACCTCCTCATAGATTGAGAAGACCAAATGGAGACCAACATGTCGCACCTAGATAACGAAGCGAGCAACTGTTAGATAAAATTTATGGTTTTTCCTATTTCGGTTATTCACACGTTTCCTTAAACTTAGTTAGTTGTTTTTTTTGTTTTTGGATATCTGAATTAACGCTCCCATATAATGGAAGAGCGTATTTTTTGCTGGCCATTTTAGCCAACTTTGGGTGCAAGATTTGTGCCACTACTACTAATTTTATGATAGGTTACTTGTTTAAATATGTCAACTGAATGAAAATTACAATCCATTAGGTCTTCAACGCAAATATTCTCTCTCCCTTTGTTTTCTGTTATTTTCTTCTTCGATCCCTATTTCCTTCGGTAGTTTTTTACTGTGTTGACGATTTCTTCTCTATTGCCAGAAGTCAACTAGTGGTATCAGAGCCCGGTTTAATCTACTAGTGGTATATCATTGCAGAGGAGCCGACTTTATCAAAAGGAAAGTTGAATAGCTCAAGTGGTTAGAGCGTCGACCTAGCAACACACAAGTCTCAAGTTTAAGTAAAAGAAAATGAAAAGCGTGAAAATACACACATCGTGGGGTCCATCTCGAGTAGGCTCGCTCACTCCTCCACGCCTCCTATGGCGGGCCAATTCAGTGCTCGAACTGCGAGAAGAAGGGCCAGGGAGCAGACTCTTTTCATTGTGAGAAAGGTATAGAAAAACAATACAAGGAAGGAGGATGGTGCACAATTTGGGTCAGGATCGAAGAAGTATCTTGGAGGTGGCACACAAGGTATGGGCACCCGAAGAAGTATCTATGATCCTACGGGGGGCAAGCTCACGTGTCTCGCAACGTCATCTTCGATGAAAGCACCTTCTGGCAGTGGAGTACCTCGTCACCGAGCCGAGAGAAGGGAGAATGCTACACAAGAAGACCCTAGGTTATTGTCGAGGGCCCTAGTGGTGTGATTTAGGTACTTTAGTGGTGTGATTTTCATTCCTAATACATTTCACTAGATCGGTGTACCTAGGTTATTGTCGAGGGACCTAGTGGTTTGATAGGTACTATAGTGGTGTGATTTTCGTTCCTAATACATATCATTGGATCGGTTTACCTAGGTTATTGTCGAGGGCCCTAGTGGTGTGATTTTAGGTACTTGACTCACACATTTCATAATGCCTTATTATAGGAAAATGGAGAATGCTGCACGAGAAGACCCTAGTGGTGTGAAAGCTCACGTGTCTCGCAACGTCATCTTCGACGAAAGCACCTTCTGGCAATGGAGTACCTCGTCACCAAGCCGAGAGAAGGGAGAATGCTGCACGAGAAGACCCTAGGTTATTGTCAAGGGCTCTAGAGGTGTGATTTAGGTACTTTAGTGGTATGATTTTCGTTCCTAATACATTTCACTAGATCGGTGTACCTAGGTTATTGTCGAGGGTTCTAGTGGTGTGATTTAGGTACTTGACTCATACATTCCATAATGCCTTATTATAGGAAAATTCCAATTAGCTTAGTCAAGGGGACACTTGAAGACTAGATAAAGTTTTGGGAAGTTTACGATTAGGTTAGTAACAATCTAGAGAAAGTTTTGTTAAATAATCGCTTGTAGGAGTTGGTTTGGATTTGTGGTCAAATAATTTAGTACCGTATTTAGGAATGGATAAAGTTGGTTCATGGAGGTGGTAATTGCTTGTAGGAGTCGGTTTGGATTTGTGGCCAAATAATTTAGTATCGTATTTAGGAATGGATAAAGTTAGTTCATGGAGGTGGTACTTCGATAATGTGTGTGGTTGTACTTTGAATGTTGTTATGGTTATATAGTTTCGCTGATATGAATGTGAAATTTCTTATAGGTGTTTGGGATGGTATGTTTTTATGTTGAGCTAGATGGTTATTACGTGAATTAGCATGGTGACGTGTTGTTGCCGTGGTTCTTTGTTAGGCATTGGGTGTGGGGCTTGGGTAGCCCATTGTTACCCTTTGTGAGTTGGATCTTTTATTAGGTGCTAGTTATCATAAGTTAAGAAGCACATAGATGACAGTGTACCATTTTCGTAGTCACGTACAAGGGGTTGAGGGTAATCATAGTATATTACTGTGGTAACACTTCAGAGGTACTTAGTGGGACGAGCCATGGCCTTGTTACTGATCCAGCCGAGCTGCATAGTGACAGGTAGTTACTGTTCCTACGACGGTAATTTTACTGATCTGAGCCGACAAGGGCGTAAGACAGGTAGTGACTGATCTTAGGAACAATTAGATATTGTCAGGCACCACTAGATCTTTGACTAGCGACTATTCGAGCACAAAACTTTGGATCCCGTGAATAGGGATAAATTCGACAAGAGCTTATGAGCAGGTTGCTTACTGAGTATTGTTTATATACTCATTCTGTGTTGTTTCTATTTTTCAGGAGCAAAGTAGATCTGGGTTGGTGGCGGGGACGTATGGAGTCGTGCAGCTGCATAAGGGGGCCCTTAGATTTAGTCCTCTTCTCCCATGTCGTTTTGGTTATGATTTTGATGTTTTTAGAAAACCTGCGATATTTTGTAACAGTTTCTTTTTATGTGACTCTACGGATTCTCGTTATGTGTTTGTAGTATTTTTTTTTTTTCAAATATATACCAGGCAACTTTTAATTTTTAGTCCCGTATTCAAACAACAAGAAGCATTCAAAGGTTTTTTTTTTTTTTTTTACTCTTGAGTCCACGTGGCGACCCATGATTCGGTATTTTTGAAGATTGGTCGTTACAGTTTTGGAATAAGATCCCGAGGTTGTTAGGTCCTGTAGACCTTCCTTAACTAGAGTATCAGTTGGGCCCTCTGCAGCTCGGCTCGTAGCCACGTTCCTCCTCGACCAGGTAACCCAGGGAAGTAAGTTACAAGCGGTAGTAATAGTTGTAGTCATATTGTAGTTTAACTTTTCATGACGTGACGTGAATCCATAGATCGTTATGGTTAAGGTTTGGATTGGACATCTAGTAACCTGCTTGTTGTACAATGTAGATACTATGACACCCATGATTAGAAGAAGGAGGGGTAGGAGAGCCACTAGGGATCTAGAGTTGTCTGAGCCTACTCAAGATTTAGCCTCGGAACAGGCACCTGAGAGCGTGCAAGCGCCGCCAGCACAGACACAGGGGCAGACAAGAGCCCCACCTTCAGATCTAGTATTGGTCTCTAACGAGACTCTCCAAGTGCTTATACGGGCCACTGAGGCCAACCAAGGGGGGATAGTGTTGGCTGACAAGAGAACAGAAATTTATTAGAGATTTTAGAAAGCATGAACCTCCGACCTTCGAAGGAGAGGAAAGTGATCTAATGGCAGCAAAAACATGGGTAGAAGCGATTGAGACCCTATTCGGGCATATGAATTTCCTTGAGGATCAAAAAGTGAATTGTGCCTCTTACGTGCTCAAGGGTGAGGCCCACTTTTGGTGGAAGGGTGCTCAAAGAATGTTGAGAACTTGAGCCGAGGGTGAAGAACCAATATGTTGGCATGAAATGAAGAGGGCGTTTTTTCACAAGTACTACCCACTAGTGAGTTAGTATAGGAACGAGGTTGCCTTCCTTAACCCGAAGCAAGGAAATAAGACGGTCGAGAAGTACGACAGGGAACTGATCTAATTGTCTCGATTTGCACCAGAGCAGGTTGATACGGAGGAAAAACGAATACGAAGATTTGTTGCAGGTCTACGAGAGGAAATCCAAGGAACGGTGGGGGCAGTAGCACTTACTCTACATATGCTGCCGCCTTAAATGTTGCTACCATGATGGATGTTCAACTCCAAAAGATGCACAGGAGGGTTGTGAATCAGAGGAATCTCCTGGGTAAGCGAGAATAGAGCGAGCATCCTGACAGGGCGTCATGACCTCAGAATAGGGGGAGATCACATAGGCCACCTTCAGCAGATAGGCAGCGGGGCGTTAGAATTGAGGCCCCTAGATTTGAAAGGCCCACTTGCCCCATTTGTGGCACTAGACATACAAAGGAGTGTAGGGTAGGTTCTGATGCATGTTTTCATTCCGGTAAGAGCGGCCACAAGAAAGTTGATTGCTCTCATAGGAGGCGTCAAGAGGAGAATAGAGCATCTAGGTCAGGTCAAGGAGGCAGAGTGAGCATGGTGCAGAACCGTGGTGCTGCTAGGGGAACTATCGAGAAATGAGAAAATAACATGGACATTGTGGTGACAGGTATCTTACAAGTACTTGGCTTCCATGCTTTTGTATTGTTCGACTCTGGGTCCACACACTCGTTCATATCTAGTACCTTTATAAGATCGCACGGTTAGGACTAGAGCCCTTAGGATATTGATTGTCGGTGTCTACACCGTAAGGGGAAATTTTAGTAACTGATGAGAGAGTACGAGCCAGTCAAATAGTAATAGCAGGGCGATCTTTGGAGGTGGTGTTAATTGTTCTTGACATGAGTGATTTCGACATGATTCTTGGCATGGACTGGCTGCTCGAGAACCACCTAACTATCGATTGTAGGGCTAGAGAAGTAATCTTTAGGCCACCTAACGGATAGAGCTTTAAGTTTAAGGGGGTGGATTCTCAAAACACCGTAAGGATTATCTCTAGTTTAAAAGCAAGAAAGTTAGTTGGTCGAGGAGCTTGGGCCTGGTTGGTGAGCGTATCATGCATGCGGCGGGGTACTGGCAGTGTGATGAATGTTCCTGTCGTACGAGAGTTTGAGGATGTGTTTCCAGAAGAGCTGACAGGGTTACCGCCAGTCAGGGACAGAGACTTTCAATTGAGCTAGAGCCAGGTAGCACCCTAATATCCAAAGCACCGTACATGATGGCTCCTGCCGAGTTGAAAGAACTTAAAGAGCAGTTGCAAGATATATTGGATCGAGGTTTTATCAGACCAAGTGTGTCACCTTGGGGGGCCCCGATACTGTTTGTCAAGAAGAAAGACGGGACCCTGAGATTGTCCATTGATTACAAAGCATTGAATAAAGTAACAATAAAAACAAATACCCATTGTCTCGCATTGATGATCTATTTGACTAACTACAAGGTGCATCAATATTTTCAAAGATCGACGTGCGATCAGGGTACCACTAGTTGAGGATCAAAGAAGGCGACATCCCCAAGACGGCTTTCAGGAGCCGATATGATCATTATGAGTTCATTGTGATTTCTTTTGGCTTGACGAACGCCCCAGCAACGTTAATGGACCTTATGAATAGGGTGTTTAAGGACTTCCTGGATACGTTTGTCATAATATTCATTGATGACATATTAGTATACTCCAAGACCAACGGCAAGCATGAAGCACATTTACGGCAAGTACTGTCAAGGCTAAGGGCACATCGACTTTATGCCAAGTTTTCCAAGTGTGAATTCTAGTTACAAGAAGTGACCTTCTTGGGGCATGGTGTGTCCAAAAAGGGCATATCAGTGGATCCAACCAAAGTCGAGGCAATTATAGATTGGCCCTGACCTACCTCACCAACCGAAGTGAGAAGCTTCTTAGGTTTAGCTGGATATTATAGAAGATTTATTCAGAATTTCTCCAAAATAGCCGCCAATCTCACACAACTAACGAGGAAAGGAAAGACGTTCTCGTGGGATAGTGCATGTGAGCAAAGTTTTAAGGAACTCAAGCACCAACTGGTTACTGCGCCGGTACTTGTAGTACTAGATAGCTCAAGCAATTTTGTGGTCTATAGCGATGCGTCAGAGAAAGGTCTAGGTTGTGTCCTGATGTAGAATGGCAAAGTCTTAGCCTATGCTTTGAGATAGTTAAAGGATTACGAGAAAAACTACCCGACGCATGACTTGGAGTTAGCTGTCGTAGTGTTTTCTTTAAAGATATGGCGACATTACCTGTATGGCGAGCGTATACAGATTTTCACCAATCACAAGAGCCTGAAATACTTATTCACTCAAAAGAAACTCAACATGAGACGAAGGCGCTGGTTGGAGTTAGTCAAGGACTATAACTTTGAATAAATGTATCACCCAAGTAAAGCTAACTTCGTAACTAACGCTCTGAGTAAGAAGACCGCTCAATCTTCGGCGTTAATTACAAGGGAGTAGACGTTGCAGGAGGATATGGCGAAAGCTAGAATAGAAGTAGTGGCAAGAGGCACCATAGGAAGATTGAGTCAACTTAGGGTCCAGCCAGATCTGAGAACGCGAATCATAAATGCTCAGAGCAACGACCCTCACTTGTACTCGATTTGCCAATAGGATGAGGCAAAGAGGGAGGAAGGATTTACCATGTCTTCCGAAGAAGGATTACTATGGCAGGGGCGAACATGTGACCTCGCAGATGAACGGATCAAAGAAGGCCTCCTGATTGAAGCACATGAATCTCTGTATTCAGCACACCCTGGTAGTACCAAGATGTATCGTGACCTGAAGAAGTGTTATTGGTGGCTAGGGATGAAGCGGGATGTTGCCCTCAAAGTTAGTAGGTGTCTCTCTTGTCAACAGGTGAAGGCCCCTAGACAGAGACCCTTAGGCTTACTACAACCCCTAGACATCCCACAGTGGAAGTGGGAGGATATAGCCATGGACATCGTAACCAGATTACCCAAGACCTCGAAGGGATACACTATTATTTGGGTGATGATAGACTGATAAAATCCGCCCACTTCATCCCCGGTAAGGCTACTTACACAGGGGATAAATGAGCGAAGCTATATTTGAACAATTTGTTAGATTTCATGGGATTCCGGTCTCCATTGTGTCAAATAGAGATTCACGTTTTACCTCCCACTTTTGGAAAGGTTTGCAAAAAGAAATGAGGACCCAACTCAGATTCAGTACAGTGTTCCACCCCAGACTGACGGCCAAACCGAAAGGCTGAATCAGGTCCTATAAGACATGTTGCGAGCATGTGTGATTGACTTCGCCTGTGGTTGGGACGAATACCTGCACCTTATCGAATTTGCATATAATAATAGTTACCAGGTGACGGAATAACCATCGCGTTGAGGAAGCAACCTAGGAGTTAGAGAACGAGATGAGGGCCAAGTACCCTGTGTTGTTTTGGGATTAAGAAACTTTCGAGGACGAAAGTTCTTAAGGAAGGAAGATTGTAAGAGCCATAGAGCTGGCAATAAGTGAGGAGAGAGAAAGACCAGCTGTACTACTCTTTTAGGGTTTAAAAAATAAAAAAGAAAAGAAAGACGACGGAGAGGAAAAGAGAAAAGAAGAAAGAAAATAAAAAGAAAGAAGAAGAAGAAAGAGGAGAGGGTGGAGCAGAGGAGACGAACGACGGAGCTTGAAGTGCTCGTCAGCAACGGTGGGTCGAATGGTTGAGGAAGGGAGAACGGCGAAGGTAAAACCTAGTGGTGTGATTTTCATTGTTCCTTTCCAAAACCCTAATACATTTCACTGGATCAGTTTACCTAAGTTATTGTCGAGGGAAGTTGGTGAGTCCTTGTGAAGAAGAAGACGTGGAGTGCTGAGAGGAAAGAAAGATAAAAAAGAAGGTGGGAAGAAGAGGCCGAAAACTGAGGGGGCACGACCTGACCCGACCCGACCCACCTGTATAGAACCGAAACTTGATTTTTTCCCATTTCACAC